GCTTCATATTTGCATCCCTAAAGTTAGCATTTCAGTTCAATGAGAGAAAAGGAATTGGTGCCTTGAGGGACTCTCTCTGACTTTGACTGATCACAGTCAGGATGAGATTAAACAATTATCATAGTTCTACTTAAGGAAACTGGTTTATGATAGATATCTAATCTGATTTGTTAATTCACAGGTCACATTCTTTCTGGGGCATTATGTGGTCAGAATTAAACTATGTGGGGGGACAAATACTTTAGTTTCTATTTGAGTGTGGATTGATCTGATTTCTTCATTTCCAAAACAATACATTATGCAGAGTCCTCCAGATTCTGCAATGCAGCTTAAATATATAGATATTTGTGTGTGTTGGTGTGTGTGTTGATGGAAGTTTGTACAGTAGTGCATATTTCTTAAAAGTAATGCACACATACCAATCATTGTATTATATTGCAAAAAACGTTGTGTACCTTAAGAAAACAGTAATGGAAAATATTTGGAGAACTATGCATCAAGATAATTATGTATACATACAAATGCCAATGGAAACTTGAAAAAGAAAACAAATTCAAAGAACCAAATTTGACATTCTTGTAAAAAAAAACGAGGAAAGGAAATTCACAGATTTGCATAGCCCAAGGCCATCTACTTTTTTTTTTTCCTTTTCTGACTTCAAGTTGCAGAAAAAGTACAGATCTCTTACCATCCAGAGATCCAAACTGATCTATTGTTCTAATATGGGCCAAGAACAGTGGTGGGATTCAAATTTTTTTTACTACCGGTTCTGTGGGCTTGGCTTGATGGCCGTGACAGGAGAAGGATATCGTAAAATCTCCAGTCAGAGGTGGTATTTGCCGGTTCTCCGAACTACTCAAAATTTCCGCTACCGGTTCTCCAGAACTGGTCAGAACCTGCTGAATACCACCTCTGGCCAAGAAGCCTCAAACTAACTCAGAAAGCACCATGTATGAGTCTTGCAGTTTAGAGTCTGGAGTTTAATTTTGGTTTTGAATATTCTGGCATCACAGATCAGATCAGCAGGAAATGACAGGGAGGACTGCAGAGGTTCTGAATTCATATTTTGACTGGTTGACATGCTAGATTATATTACTAGTGTAATGTGTGAAATGCATTTACCTTGCATACTTGCTTTGCCTCAAGCAATTCATATCTCAGCATTAACATTTAAAAAGAAACTTATGCGGTACAGGTGCAGTTTTGTGTTTTTGCTGTGTATAATGGGCTATTAGAGGCCCCCATTTATGCTATATTCCTATGGTGGACAAACTGAATGCTCCCAAAGTAGGCAGAAGTTGAGACACATATGAGTTACACTAGATTGTGAACTCTTTTAGCAAATGGGATGCCTGTACAGTGTGATCCGATTTAAAACCAAACGGGGGGGATATGCAGGGTTGTTTTTTTTAAGCAGCCAATAGACTCTTTTAAAGACAACCTACTCTTCCTCTCTGACTTCATTGGTTAGTCACCCAAATATTAATAAAATGAAATAATCCACAGTGTCTGCAGGCAAAAATCTCTGTGAAATATTTAATTGCTTTGTGTCTCTTTTGAGCAGCCTTGTGCTAACTTGGAAGCAAATAATCACAGCAGAGCAAAGCAGAAAAAAAAACACAACCCAGCCAATCCCTATCTGCTTGGTGCCAAACAGATAGAAAGCTCTTTAAGGTGGCAGTACTGTATTCTGGAAGCAGTACTTGTTTTATGAAGCTACCATCAGTGGTGGGATTCAAATTTTTTTACTACCGGTTTTGCGGGCGTGGCTTGGTAGGCGTGGCAGGGGAAGGATACTGTAAAATCTCTAGTCAGAGGTGGTATGTGCCGGTTCTCCAAACTACTCAAAATTTCCACAGAAAAGGTAAAGGAAACAATGGTGGTATGGATGAAAAATTTCGGCTATAGCATTAATTTAGATGCTTGACAAAAACTTTGGAAAAGAAATTAAAAAATGACTTTAGCTATATCATTTCAGGAAAATCTCTACAAATTATTTTATAGATGTCACATACCACCATCAAGATTGGCAACAATAAATTCAAACTTTTCTCCCAAGTGTTGGAAATGTAATAAAATAAAAGGAAAGTACTTATGGTGGAGTTGTAAAGAGGCCCAAAAATATTGGCAAAATTTACATATCTGGATAGAAGAAATGTATAGAATGAAAATAGAACATAGACCAGAGTTCTTTGCACTAGGGATCAATACGATGAAATATGATAAAAGAAAATATATTTCTAATAATCCATGTAATAACTGCAGCAAGATTGGCGTATGCACAGAATTGTAAAAGTAAATGAACTTGATATATTGAGGAAAATCATGAGATGCGCAGAAATGGATAAACTAACAAAGGAACTAAAAAATAAGGAAGATTCAGATTATTATAAAACATGGGACAAATTTTATGGTTGGCTAGAGATGAGGAAGATTCATGCAAATAAGGAATGATTATATGTATAGTTAATGTATATGGAATGAAATTATGTAATATTATTATTGATTTAGCAAAGTAATGACAAAGATTGATGTTAGGAAGACTGTACCAGGTTCAACATTTTTGTTGTAATTTTTGTTTGTGTTTATGTTTTTGTGTTTGTTTAATAAAGGAAATTTTTTTAAAAAATCTGCTACTGTCTCTCCAGAACTGGTCACAGCCTGCTGAATACCACCCCTGAAGCTACTATTTATATGCAAGGATCCTTAATGATGCAGCTGTGCCAGAAGCGTGCCTGATGGAAATTCTCAGCCATGTCTTCTGAATTCTGGTGGCAGAATAATACAGTTTCTGAAAAAGGATTGGGTTTCCTTTTAGCAGCAAGAGTCTTTGGGTGGACACGGGAGATGTAGAAGGTTGCTTTGTAGCAGCAAAAACTGGAGGATAGTTTTCCCTAAGAAGAATGCTCATGTTCCCTGGATGTGATAAGGAGAAGCTTGGTTTAACGTTTCCTGGAAATGTTTTAATTCGGATTCCCGCACTGACTAAGGACTTCAGTGCAGAAGTCCAAATTTTAATGGACGTTTCCAAGTCTGTGATTGACTAGTATTAGGAAAAGATCCTCCTTTACATATGGGATACTGGTAGTAGAAATTATTGCAAAGAAATCACAATAGTACAGGTAGTCTTCGACTTACGAGTACAATTGAGCTCAAAATTGCCATTGTCAAGCAAAACAGTTGTTAAGTTAGTTTAGCCCCATCTTACAGTCTTTCTTGCCACAGTTGTTCAGTGAATCACTGCAGTTGTTAAGGTTGTTAAGAGAATCTGGCTTCCCCATTGACTTTGCTTGTCAGAAAGTCTCTACATGACATGTGATTTCCTGTCAGTGAGAACAATTAATCAGTGAACAGTTTGCCTTCAGAAATTGTGGGTGCTCCAACACTGGAGGATTTTGGGAAGAGATTGGACAACCTTTTGTCTGAAATGGTATAGGGTTTCCTGTTTGAGCAAGGGGTTGGGACAGAAGACGTCCAAAGTCTCTTACAACTCTATTATTCTGCTTAGTGGAAGTTAAACATCACAGTCTCCTATTATTTGTGAAAATATTTACAGACCCCCTCACATCCTGGACATAAACTGTTTCAACTCGTTTCCTCAAAATGACACTATAGAGCACTGCACACCAGAACGACTAGACACAAGGACAGTTTTTTCCCAAAAGCCATCACTCTGCTAAAAAAATAATTCCCTCAACAGTGTCCAACTATTTACAGAGTCTGCACTACTATTACTGTTAATCTTCTCATCACTCCTTATCACCCATCCCCTCCCACTTGTGACTGTATGATTGTAACTTTGTCGCTTGTACCCTTACAATTTATATTGACTGTTTCCTAGTACGATTCGATTGCTTATTGTACTGTATGACTATTATTAAATGTTGTACTTGATGATTCTTGACTCAAATGTATCTTTTCTTTTATGTACACTGAAAGCATTTGAACCAAGACAAATTCCTTGTGTGTCCAATCACATTTGACCAATAAAGAATTCTACTCTATTCTATTATTTTAGATGAATTAATGAAGTGTAAAAGGAGATGACTTGAGCAGGAATGAACATCTTCCTAGAGTCCAAGATCAGAACATACACTTTAGGACAACTAAATACACTTTGAGAATACAATGCAAACTCATTAAGTATTCCACTAGTTCTGCTGTCATCTCTGAATGTAGCAAAGCCTTAAGGTTTAGACATGGGGTTTAGTTATCAAATATCAGTGTGTCAAACTGGCGGCCTGTGGGCCGGATACGTCATGCACTGGCCAGCTCCATAAATGGAAAAATCTTTGTGAAATGTTCACATGACAGCAATGTGATGTGGCGAGTTTGACACCCGTGATATAGATGGTTTCAGGATGTTTCTTTTTAAGACAAAATTCTAAATACCATTGGTCTGAGTAGCCAGCCAGTTCAAAGGTTGAATTAGTTGAGGGGTGTAGCTCCTTGTAAAATCTACATCCCAGTGAGATGTGCTCTAAGCTTTCAATTTCATCCCCAGCCCAGGAGCAACATAGGGGGGTGGGGGGATGGGGGGGGAGGTGATAATATCTACTATTCATAATGATGATCCAAGTATTCATTTTGGGACAATTACCTGTTCATAAACATGTCAAGACTGTTACTTAATTTAGAGACGTTACCTAATGAAGAATAAATTGCCTGTGAACTCTGTCTTGTACTTTCTAAATCTCTTCATTTGATCCATTCAACCTTAGAACCCAGATGGTGTTTTTTTTTTTTTAATTTTCCTCCACTGCCCCTCCTGCCAAGGTATTTTCCTCTCCTGTATAGCCCAAACCTCTCCAGTAGGAGGCAGGAACAGCTTAGCTTTGCAGTGTTGATTTCCCCCCCCCCCTTAATTATCTTCATTCCGTCAATAGTGTTATGAGTCTAATATTGTAGAGATTATGCTAAATATACTCAGTCCTCTTGCTCTTTTTATAACCAAGTGGCATTTCTCTCCTTTTCTCACTCCCCTCTCCCTTTCCTTACAGGTATGAGAGCATTAAGCTCCGAGGTACATTGACGGCATGCCATTACTCCATCGCATGCTGGCCGTAGCTTTTGTTCAGATCCTCCTAGTTTCAGGCAACTGGATTTTAGCCAAGAACATCAACTTCTATAATGTAGAAGTAGACCGTAAGTAGCCTGTTCCAGTTCTTTGGCATTGGTAAATAACTCCTTTCCAAACATTTCCAGCCGTTTTATGCTAAGCCCTTCAAATCTTTTTTAAAAGGTTATTTTATATTACAATTATGCTTGGGCCTAAAAGCAAAACATTAATTTGACTGTCTTTGGTGATAGTTAATTATTAGGTGGAATGCCTGATTAATGGCCTAAAATGTGCACCTGGGTATTCATCTGATTAAGTTGTAATACCTTTTTATTGCCTTCCCTTTGTGCTTCTAATACTTTTGCTGTGTACACAGTTTGCAAAGGTTCTGCAGCAATTCTTGAGCACTGCAGTTGTTGATGTTTGCATCAGAAAAAGCCCAGTGCATGCTACTTCAGTGAAGTGTTCAGGCATCTGATCTGTTTACTGGCGGCAATATTAGCATTATTATTCAGTATGCATCAATGTTTAAGTGCAGAGTCAGATCTATCCCCGCCGTAGAAGGTTGAGCAGAGAGAAAGCAATTGGATTGAAGTTACAGGGTGAGTTTCCATGGCCTATAGACCCTTCCTCTAATCCAGTGGTCTTCAAATTGGACAGCTTTAAGACTTGTGGACTTCAACTCCCAGAAATCCTCCTCCAGTCATGTTAAGCTCAGGAATTCTGGGAGTTGAAGTCTTAAAGTTGCCAAGTTTGGAGACCTCTGCTCTAATCCAACACTTTAACCAATGGTATATAGGAAGTTGCAAAGAGCAACATGTCTCATATAATTTATTGCAAAGGAAAAGATGTCCCACAATGGAGCAAGCCTTGGCAATTTGGCAACTTTAAGACACCATGATGACTGGGGAATTCTAGGAATGGAGGTCCACACATCTTAAAAGTTCCCTTAAGGGGGCCCTTGAACTAAGCAAATATTGGATTTAGCTTTCCCCTTGCATCCGATACTTGGACATTATTAATGCTGCATATCAATAGAGCATTTGGGCATGGCACATATTTACTTTTAGTTCATTCTAAAAGATGCTTTTCTAAAAGACAACTGGATTTTCTTAGTTTCTTTTCCCTTTTCCCAAGGGAAAAAAAGTCCAGTTGCCTTTTGGAAAAGCATCTTTGGGATAACATGACCTGGATGATTGAGAATCTCCATAGACATTCCGAGGTCGACCTTCTCCAGTTTGGATACTCTCCACAGGTGTAGTCTTCACATCCCAGAACGTTCAGTTGTGGTTTTCCTGTCAGGAATTCTGGGAATTGAAGTCCACACATCTGGATAATGTTGATGTTGTGGATCTGTTCTAGGTTCATTTGAACCAGTCTTCTAACACGATGTAAAGTTAAAATCAAGCTAAGCAGATTTTGCACCTTTTAAAAGACTATTTTTTGCTTAATCACTTGGGGAGTAAATCCAAGTGAACTTAATGGGGCTTAGCTCTAATATGCTTATGCTTGTCTTAGGAAAAAATGTTAATTGAAGATGGTATATTGTAAAATAATTCTCTCCTGTTTGGGGACTAATTGAGGGGAATAGGAGAATTTTAGAGTTATCAGGGTAAAGTATTTAACGTTTCCCTCCTTTCATTTAATTTTAAAGCTACTCCATTTCCAAGCAGCTTCAAATGCTTTACTTGTGACAATGTTATTGACAATTTCAACTGTAACAGATGGGCTGAAGATAAGTGGTGTCCTCAGAGTAAGTATATGAAAAGCATTTATTTTAACTTTTCCAATTAACTCAGTCATATTAAGGGCATCAGGTGGTTAGCATGACTTAACAGTCCAAAGAACTAATGGCTTCTGGAATCTATAGCTGTTTTCCTGGATTCACTTCAGCGTTACATGAGATTAACAATAATGAGATTTATAGCTGACTGTATCTATAGTATCCTTTTGAGGTGTCAATATAAAGTTTAACAGCTAGCATCTATCTCCTACGGCTGTTCCCTTTCTCTTCTTGTTTTGTTCAGTTGCACAGGAACTGAACAAAACAAAATGAGAATCCTTTTTCATATGATCCAGAGCAAGTCGACATTAAACAGAAATTTATTTAACCAATAAAAAATATTTGTAGCTCAGGATTGAAATGAGAGGTCTCTGGTGCTCTTGTTTGTTTTCTTGCTTGGTTGTTTGCTTGCAGATGTTTCATTAGCCAAACTAGGTAATATCATCAGTGCTAGTAAGGGGTGGGATTTACTCTCAGTTTATATTTTCAGTTTATATTCTAGTGTCAAACTGGCGACCAGTGGGCCGGATGTGTCACATATAGGCCATGCCCACCCCAGTTCCACAAAGGGAAGAAACATCATGATATGTCATGTGACAGCAACATGATGCAGCGAGTTTGACACCCTTGTTCTAAATGCTTGTCCTGTCAGTGTTGGTGGGGGTGAAGACCAAAACACTTTCCCACCAGCAATCAGCACCGAAATGAACATAGATTAACTCCAAGATTAACATCATACCAGTAATCAAATCATATCCCAACCAAGGAACTGCCAAATTAGCTAACAGGAAACAGTCCAATCAAAGAACCTCCAAAACCACTCCCACCAGCACTGACAGGGCAGGCCACTAGGATATAAACTGAGAGCAAACCCTACTCCTTACTAGTAGCGATGATATTACCTGTTTGGGTAATGAAATGTCTGAAAGAAAACAACCAAGCTCAGAGAGCACCAAGAACCACTCAGAAATTGATTGATTGATGTGCTGACCATCTTGTTGGCAGGATAAAAATTTAATACATGCATTCTGACATTGATATAATATAAACTTCCCAACCTGAAGCCCAACAGACTTGAGAAGTTCAATCCCAGAATTCCCAGCTATTAGAATTATTGGTTTCTCCTCTACCTTCTGTCCACTGTATGGAGCTGCAACACAGCTGCTTTTCCTTCCGGGTGGATTTTTTTTTTGCCAACATAATATAGGAAGGGTGGATTATACATATTTTCCAACTATTAGGAAAAATAATCACTTGTGGCCTTCATGAAGTAGAATCCCCATCAACAATATGGTGGATGGTTGTACATAATTTCCATAATTTGGAAAAATCTGCAGCCAGTGGAAAGCCAGGGTATATGTTGATGTGTGGACTGTCATCATTTTCAAAAAGGAAAAGGACCAGGAAATGTACACCCTAAGGTTAGAAAAGACAGGAAAATATTATATGCAACGGTTCCAGTCAAGAAAAAAACTTAAGTTTGTGTGTCAGTAATTTTAGGGCAAGTATTCAGATGTTAACAGGATTTTGATTTTTAGTGAAAAAGCTAAGTCAGCATGTCTGAACTTATAAAATATAATAATAAAAGAATCCTGATGTTTTCTTTTTCTCTCTTTCTCTCTCTCTTTGTATTGTTTAGACACTCAGTACTGTTTAACAATCCATCACTTTACTAGTCATGGAAGGAGCCTCTCTGTTACCAAGCAATGTGCTACCAGGGAAGAATGCCATTTTGTTGGCTGCCATCACCACAGAGAAACTAGTCATACAGTAAGCATTACATTTTGATATAAAGCTAACCCTTAGAACAAAGGGAGCCCTCTCTGTGCTGTAGATGGAATTTCCCCATGGGATACTTGGCAATATTGACAGATGGCAAAAGACAAGGTTCTGTTTCTGCCTGAGACTCATGATGGATCCAGATGAGTCTGGGGTTTCTTCCTGCGTTTCTCTCTCTCCCTCTCTCTCCCTCTCTCTCTTTCTCTCTCTGGAGTTTTTATCTATCATAAAATACTCTCAGTGTAAGAGGGGCTAGGAGGAATGGATCACTTTCCAGATATGGAATTAAAGCTGTTTCATTTTGTAGTTTCTTGACTCATTTAAAATACTGGTTCTCATGTAATTCAAACATGATTCTTTAAACTAAAGGCATTTTACTCATTGAGTAAATTATTAGGGTGAAATATTAACCATCAGGATAAACACTGTGACTTCCTTTAAGTAAACCGCACCCAACTTGATTGCAGGAAATACAACTTCAGCAACAGAGTGGTCAATGTCTGGAATGCTCTACTTGACTCTGTGGTTTCTTCCCCAAACCCCAAAAACTTTAACCTTAGACTGTCTACTATTGACCTCACCCCTTTCCTAAGAGGTCTGTAGGGGGCGTGCATAAGCGCACCAAAGTGCCTACCATCCCTGTCCTATTGTTTCTTTTTATTTTTCTTATACATATCCATTTCATGTATTCACAACCATGTTTATACTCATACCTGTTATCTAATAATTGCATGACAAAATAAATAAATAACATTTCAGTACATATAGATACATAACATCTCAAATAGGCCAACAAAACATATGTATACCTAGAACTGTGATAATAATGTAATGAAGTATCAAAAGTCTCAAGAGGGGAAAGGAAAAGATCAGAAATACATATTATAAATTAAAACTACTCAATAAAAACTACTCTAATGCACTATTAATGAGGTACAATATTGAGAGCTAGTTTGGTTAAGGTATCAAGTTAGAGACGTGGAGATGTGATGTTCTTGGTGGTCTCTGAGCTTGGTTGTTTTCTTGCAGACATTTCATTACCCAACTAGATAACATCCTCAGTGGGAGATGTGTGTTCTAATTCCAGCTAAGGCACAAAGCCAGTTGGGTGTCTTTTGGATTAGTAACTTCTCAACCCTAGACAGGAAGCAACAGCAAATTATTTCCACCCAAAAATGTTACCAAGAAAATGACAAGAATTTGTCCAAGGAGATGCCAGGAGTCAAGACTAACTTGAAGGCACAAAGCCTACCCTCCCTTAGCTGATACTGATGACAACAGCACTTTTCCAGCGCTGGGTGGCAGGCAGGCCCCTACTTACATATTCATCCAAACTGAAGCAGATTCTCATGAGGAACAAGAAATGACAGAACAGAGATGTGAATGTGGATGCCTATTTTGCTACCACATTTACATCAATAGCACCACCTCAGGCCCCAACAACTTCACAGACAAGATTAGAATTGTTCTTCTAATGTGACATATGCCTTAATCTGCCAGCAATGTCCCTCAGGATTCAGTGTAAGACAATTACGACAAGCTTTGCACAGAAAAATTAATGGACACAGATATGATAACTCAAAACTAGTAGTGCCAGAGCATTTCAACCTCCTGTGATCCTCCATTATAGATCACAAAGTAACCAATTTTTTTTGGGGGGGGGAACCCCAAACTATACTACCAAGTTTCTCCAACAATACGCCCCCCCAATAGGAAGACCCAGCATGTTTTCTAGGCATAAGGTGAAATTAAGCCCCACCCCCAAATTTAGGCCTAGTTTAAAACATGTGAAATTGGGGGGGCGGTGAACTTGCTGTTAGGAGCACCCCACGGGCAGCCACTCCTCGCCACCAGCCGCTCCTAATGGTCGATCATGGCGGAGCACGGAGAGCTCCCTAACCCCACCAAGCGCCTTTGCTGCAGACCCAGGTATGGTGCTAGGTGCTGGCCGGGTCAGCGGGCAGGCGGCAGCAGCGTGGATGTCGGCCTCGGTGGCGGTGGGGCACTTTGCATTGCACCTGCCGCTGTTGCTTCCTCCGCCACTTTTGCTTTCCCTTCTGCCCATGCGCTGCCGTTTTTTCGGGGGTCAAAAGAAAATAAGGCCCGACCTTGTTTTCTGAGAAACACGGTAGCTGAGCAAGTCACAGCTGAACTCATAAACATCAAAAGTATTCAGGATGACTCAAGATGTCAGCAAACATGATGGTTATTTAACATATTACAGATTGTTAAATTTGATAAGGTGACATGTAATGTATCTTACACATAGCCTGCATCCATCTTCCTTTTTCTTTTTCCTCATTCCACTTTAAACCTCACTGATGCCTAGCTACTCCATTGCATCTGCTAAATGAACTGCAGGTTATGAAAGCTTATGCCTTTTAATAAATTTGGTAGTCTGAAAGGGTGCTCCCTGACTCCTCCTCAACATTGGTTGCTGTAACTAACACATGACTTTCCTCTCACAATGCCTGCTTTTTATATCTTAGGGATTAAAATTTGGGATATTTGCCAGTACTGATGCTAAAAAAATTCCCTGTTATCTTCACCATCTACAATGCCACTAAATTCTCTTATCTACTGAAATCTAGTTAGTGATTTCACAGTTCTAATGGCATAAGCATAAAGCAAGTGTTCTAAAACCAAAGACAACAAGGAAAAAAAATGGACTTAGGGCATTCTCAACTTGTGTTGTAAATTTAAAATTGGGAGAAACAACAACAATAGGGAGAAACAACCAAATTTATTTTAAAAAAATCTCTTCAGAAATCTCCAAGTAATTATACTAATGTTTAAATCTGTATTTAAATAAAAATGCTGCTTCATTTTCTTTATTCTGAACAAATCAATTTGTTAAAATCTAATATTTATTGCCTTAGTGGCCCTGAATTCAAGAAGAAGAAAAAATGATCGGAAGGAAGGAAGGAAGGAAGGAAGGAAGGAAGGAAGGAAGGAAGGAAGGAAGGATGATAGATGGGGGGAGGGAGGCATAGGGAAAGAGAAAGGGAGGTAAGGAGAGGGAGGGAGAGGGAGAGAGAATATGCCATCAAGTTGTGGAGAAAATCTCCATGACAACTTATCCCTAACCTGGTTGTACAAGTCTTCCAATGTTACAGTCATCACCACTGTAATTGAGTCCAACCATATTGCTTCTAATCATCCTCTTCTCTTTCCTTCCATCTTTTCCAACATTAGATCCTTTTCCAGAAAGATAAGTTTTCCCATAATATTCCAAAGTAGAGTAATTTGAAGCTGGTTTATTTATTCTTCAAATGAGAACTGGATTTATTTATTCAATGACCTATTGATTTATTTTGTTGCCTAGTGTCCTGCTTGGAATTATTGTAGAATAAGTTTTATTTAAACTAGTGGATAAGAATCTATAAACCACCAATAGAATAGAAAATAAGAACTCAATATTGTACAATATGGTAAATATTTTTGCATAGGTTTTCTGGAACCCATCAGGGTCATCAACCTTCTCTAACACCATAGAATAATTTTAGTCACAATTTCTTGAAGAGAAAAAGGTGAGGTAAGATTAGTAATGAAATTCTGTGAGCTGTGATAATTTTACATTTTGTAAAAAGTAGTCTATCTCATATGCTGGTAAAAAATTGGAACTTACCTAATTTGAAATGGTTTATGAATATGTCTAAAATGTACAACCATTTTCCAAGAAATATCATAAATTAAAGATTTGCTTAATTTGTTTTAAGAAAAAAATCAATAGCTTACTCTCCCCTTTCCCTTTATCGTTGCCTTGTACAAAATAATATAATTTCCAATTTCGAAGCTTAAATCTTGTTGAATTTATATTTTGCAGAAACCAGAGTCCTATATGGTTTTAGGAGATGGATGAGAAGCAGAAATGTTTATCTTTATCAGAAGCATATGCAATATGACCTCAAATGAGGTCATATGATTTAGCACTATCTCATACCAATCACAGTCAAGAAATCGAACCCCTGTTAATATGGGGGGGAAATCTACCATTTTCTATCTGTTTAAATTATCATTCCACAGAGCTCTGTTGAGAAGCCATTAAGATAAATATTTCAATTGTTGTCACCTAAGGCAACTTGCTGCATAGTAGTATGATTTTAACAACTCAGGACAGTCCATACTTTTTTTAAAAAAAATACTTGTATCTCATCTTTTCTTCACATATAACTCAAGATGATAAATATGCCTAATACTCTTCCCTACTCTATTTTCTATGCACCACAATCCCTGTGAGGTAAGTTGGGCTGAGCCAAAATGACTGGCCCAGAGTCACCCAGCTGCCTTTTCATGCCTAAGGTGAGACTAGAACTCACAGTCTCCTGGTTTTTAGATCAACTCCTTAACTAACATACCAAAACAGCTCTCCTGGCCCAGTATAGGCCACCTACTACTCTTTAAGAGCAGGAATGGACAATATCTATCTTCTCCCACTCATAACCCAATGCAAATGCTTCCCACACCTGTGTTTTCCCACATTGATTCAGAGCTGCTGTTTTCCAACTGCAACCATCTTAGGCCCTTCAGATGGAATGGCCTCTATTGCCTTGTTCCAGTCTAGTAACTTGTTCCAGTCTAGTCTTCCAGCACCAATGCTGATTGGTTTAAGTGCCTAACACACCCTGTTTCTCCAGTGGCTGATCATTGCCTTATGAAGTTCTTTCCTGGACTTCTGGTGTCTGCATTTTTTAAATAATCTAGCAGCAATCCAATGATGGAAAGTTAAGTCCGTGAACTCACCTCTCCACTAAAAAGTTTGTGTATGCCCTCATTCATGAGTTCATGTTGCATTCACCCTTTTCAACTGCAGTTTCTATCTAGATTAGAGGAAGCATGTTATCTTTGATTTTCCCCTCTGCACATTGTACTGCAAAGCTTCCCTTCCTGGCCTTTTAAAATACATTTAAGAAATACCTCGACAGGTAGTCCTTGACTTACGATGATAATTGAGCTGAAAGTTTCTGTTGCTAAGTGAGACATTGGTTAAGTAGGTTTCCCTCCACCCATTTTATGACTCTTCTTGCCACACTTGTTAAGTGAATCACTGCAGTTGTTAAATTAGTGACATGGTTCTTAAGTGAATCTGGCTTCCCCATTGACTTTGCTGGTCAGAAGGTTGCAAAAGGTGATCACATGACCCCGGGACACTGCAACCGTCATAAATATGAATCTGTTGCCATCTGAATTTTGATCATGTGACCTTGGGGATGCCACAAGAGGTGTCAGTATGAAAATTGGTCTTAAGTCATTTTTTCCAGTGCTGTTGTAACTTTGAATGGTCACTAAGTGAACTATTGTAAGTATTGTATTTCTGTAAGGCTGAACTATCTTGATAGAAGAACATAGGACTGAAAGAACCACCTATTCTTTATTGCCTTAACCATTGTAGCATGGGAGTCATAAGATGGAGGGGAGGAAGGTGTGATGACCCAGAGTGTAACACAAACATAATAAAATCCAAAATGTAAATAAATGTCCTTTATTGCCTCCAACTTGGCCCCGCTGTTCAATAATTCTCAATTGGAGATAAAACATACTCAAAAATAGCCTTCAAAAGAAAGCAATACAGTCTGAATTGAATGAGCAGACAGAGGTGAAAATAAAAACCAAACAAACTACAATGATGAAATATCCACAACTGAATAGGAGAAGTATTTACCAAATTCAAGGAGATAACAAGGCACAATCTGTTGGAAGGACGCCAACCAAGATAACTTCAGACCAAAATAACACACACGTTGCTTCTGGCAACCTGTGTTTTAACTGTCTCTCTTATATACTTCTCCCCCCAGCGTCAACCAATGAGGAGGATCATTGCTGCTTCCTCTCACAAGCCAAGTTGTTGCCTTCTCCTTTCCTCCCGGCGTGTCCTAGGATGCAGAGGGGATGGGCCTGGTTCTTCCTCTGACTTCAGCCCTTCCCCAGCCTCCTCCACAACCTCCAGAGCCACACCTCCATTCCCTATCAGCTGTTCCTCCTCTCCCTCAGAGGCCGATTCTACCAAGGGCATGACAAAAGGTCTGATTCAGTGTCAAAGGAAATAATTTGGGAAGGAGACATGAATGCAGCTATTGACACAGACAGATCTCTGGAAAAGTCAAAGACAGGCATGGAGACCAGTGAGAAGGGAATAATCCCTTAAAACAGGGGTCCTCAACCCTCAGGCTGAGGCCTGCTACCGGGCCCTGGCCTGATTGGAACCAGTCCAGTCCACAAGCCGGATAGGTTGGGGACCACTGCCTTAAAGGAGGCAACAGATGGGATGGTCCACATGGAAGCCAACCAACAAGGACAAGGAACAGAAAAATGAGCACTCAGGGGCCTTGCTTGACTGAATATCTGCCCAACCCAGGGCCAAGGCACCGCAATTCAGGCTAACATTGTTGAAGGACTTAAGAAACCTCTGGGAACATTCTGGTAGGCAAACAGCTTAGGCTGTCATGTAGAATTACTTTATGTCACACAAAACTACAATTTTAGATGGAAGGAATGAGAGATTTCCCTCAATTTCATTATGCTTCGACCTGCAGAAGAATGGCAGACGGTAGTTTATGATTCCATACAAGTGCAAAGCAAACATAAAAACGTACACTTCAATACCCTGAAGCTCTTTACTTTTTTTCTCCTTTTTTCCCTTTTCTTTCACATTTCTAGCCCTGAAACTTACAGCGGTACACATAGTGAAATATGGGCTTTGCTTAATACAGCCTCAGAAGCAAAGCAGGGATGAATAACAGTTATTAAGATTCATAGCACAAAATGAGGCTTCAGTGTTCAACATGGCTATCATGAGTTCTTCATAATCAGTAAAAGCAGGATTTATTACGCTGAATATATGCTTTGCTGAATTATAAATAATTCAAGATTCAGATTTTCATCTATGTAGAATTTAGATTTTATTTTTTTTAAGTACAGCTCTGATAATGCGGGTTCTCTTGCGCTGTTTTTGGCAGCTGTATGATTAGTTTGCTAAGAGACTATTTACATATGCCTAAATATGTTTTGATCTGTACAATCAATGGACTCTTCCTGAGCAAGGGCATGAGCCAAATATGTATCAATGCAGTATATAATGGGGAAGATGCTGTGTTTGGGAACCTCACTGCCCACTTTTGGAATGTCGTTCTTAATTAAGTTGTCTCTCATGATAATTATGGTTACTTTCATGATCATCTTGATGTAAAACTAATAAAACTAATGTGTGCACTAGACTAGAACATTCCTCATTGCTGCTCAAAAATATAGATTCTTTTTTCTGTGCACAAAGGAAGGCAGACTTCTGTATTATGATTGGGAAGCATGCACCATGTTAATAGTATTGTATTATGTTGCATCACATTGGTTAAACTGCAGCATTGACATTTGTTTCCACATCTTTTCTTGGGAACAGACAACTTGCTTATTCATTTTTCCTGCAACAATAACAAACATTCAGCAATTTGTCAAATTGTCAGTGTTCCAATACTTTCTGTATTGGAACATTGTACTTCTGTACTACAGTACTTCTGTAGGTACTGTATGTTTTTTTTTCTTGGCCTGAGAACCAGGATCACAATAAAATTGAAGTGTCAGTATATGAAGGATTGTACAGTGTATTGAGATATTTTCATTGTAAGTGTCCTCATAGCTTCTGTCTCCTTTATTTCTTTGAATTGTGAAGGCTAGCGAGAATGTTCTTTCTTTCTAGCAATTAAATACATTATTAGATAATACAGCAATATGTTATGCTGCACATAACCTTTGTTTTAATTCCAGTTGATTAGCAAAATTGTTATGTAGATTTTAAAAGTTTTATTACAATATATGCTGCATATAACCTGTCTTTTAATTCCAATTGGATGGCACAATTGCTATGTAGATTTTAAAAGTTGTATTACTCTTTGAAAAGACTCCCAAGGAATCTAGCAGCAGCTATTTAATATATTATTAATAATTTATATAGACCTGGATGGTAGATATGCTATATTTCATAAGGTGATGTTTTCTGTTAGTTGAAGATTGTATTTTAAAATGGAGCATGTGCTGTCTCTAAAAAGAAAGCATCTCTTTTCTTCAAAGAGGGTTATAACTTTCATGTGCAAATTGATGCAGATTTATTGATTGATTCCTTTAATCACGAAGCACTATGGCTTCCATGTAATAACATTATCTATTACAATTTACAGGAATGCGTTTCCTGCTGTGAAGGGATGATCTGCAATGTAGATGTACCCACAAATCACACAAATGCTGTTTTTGTGGTACTGCATGCCCGGAAGACATCAGGAGGTAGCAGACAAACCATTAGCATCTCCTTGCTGGTCATACTCATCATAGTTTTCAGGTTATGACATGACTCTCCTCAGGCAGAAGGAATTTGTTGTTTGGAGTTACATGAAGACAATCTGTGATGAAGAAGGAGTTCTAAGAAGTCTGTTGTATGGATAAAAGCACTTCTGGGTATTTGAAGACTGCTGATCATAACATGGTAATAAAGATACTTACAGATATTGGTGCCAAGAAAACCAAGCACAATAGCCAAATATTATGTCAACTTGACTAGTTACCAGAAATGTCAGAATTCTTTATGTGGAACATAGAACAATTTGTGCCTTGGCATGTTATTGTAGCAAGTTATTACTGTACAATTTTGAAGTATTAAAATTGTTCCTCACCTGAAATGTTTTTGGAAGTGGTGATACCATATTCTTATTTCATATCAAAATTCTTCCTAGTTTTGAGAGGTCCCTACCTACCTGCAATCCTGACTCATATCTGATGCTGTTCCAACTTTTTGCTGTCCCTACTATGGGGTCCTTTATTCTGAATACTACAGTAGCCACTGTAGCAGCATCGTCAAATTGAGGGAGAAAGAGATGGAAATTGTATGATTTGTTAATAGTCCATTTTGGGTATGGAGACATCAGCATGTATCTGACTATGCAAGTTTGGATTGACTCAATGAGTAAATAATTACTAGGAGTTCTTCAAACAGATAGAACAGTTAGCTCCACACCTCAAATATCCATAACAAGACTGCCTTTTCTCTACATTGCCCTTGCTGGCCATGATTTCCAAACACTATCATTATGGTGGGATTACCTCTTTGTGAGGAGTTGCACTTATGCTGGAGGACTGGGGAATTATCAAAACTATCTAGGGAAGTAGAGAGTTCAGAACAACTAATCAGTTTGCTCCACACTGAGAAATATGAACAGAAAAGAGTTATGATAGGTAAACATAGAGTACTGGGCTTCCAACTCTGCTTGAAGTTCACAACATTCAAAAACTTGTTTTCTAAGTGATCCAGGATAAGCTAATGTGAATCACCCTTGAGTTGTAGTTCAGTCTGTGGGGGAAGCAACATGTGTGAAACAGATTTCAAAGGTCATGGAATTTAACACTCTGTTCTGTTAAATCTTGAAACTGTACAAAAAACAAGTGAGATTTTTACTGCAGTGTGCTGAATCCATTTTAAATAACAAACTGAGGTTCATGAAATTTCATGAATTCATGGAAACAGAATATGGACAAATATAAATAATTGGTATAAATAATACAAATAAAGAAGGCTGGAATAACTGTTTACTGTAAGCCCTTTAGACAAGCCATGTGCCCACGTGTTTATAAATATTCTTATTTTTTCTCTGTCTTCGGGAATTCAAGTTTACAAATGTGTTTATGCATAGTAAGTACCACACTAAACTAATAACTTTTCATTGGAAATCAGTGTTCCATGTTCCTTTAATCATAACATCTGAAAAAAGTTTAATTTTACCTTTTTCTAAACTTATACCAATTTCCTCAAAGTGATAAGCAGTTCCCAAGCTAAGGGTTATTGTTTTCCTTCCACCATCTCAAGATATCTGCCCAAGATATCTCAGTAGATTTCTTGCATCATGTGGAGCAAGCATGCAGGCTAAGTGTTACTTAGAGTAGGCAAGGTGCCTTTCTTTTCTCTTCCTTGGCCGTCTCAACTGGATCCAGTAGCCTTGAAGTTTAACAATAGTTTTAAGTCAAATGAAAGTATAAAGAAAGAATTCATTTAGAGGTAAAACTTCAGCTTTGGGTTGAAAACAAACCTGGTTTGTTGGTAGCAGCTCCATGCAGGATTAAGGTCATAGACTCTTACATGAAATTTTGTGGAGTTACCACCAGCCATTTAAATAATGGCAAGTTAGATGGACTTGAGGTTTCAAGTTAGTGCAAGGCTATATTCCATGTCTCTTCCTAGAATTTTGATTTGTAAGGTCAATGTCATTCATTCCAACTCACTATCAGTTAGTTAAATTGATTTCAAATTATCATTACTAGCAAATTGCCTATTATGCAGTCTTTATTTGAATATTTCTTGATCCACAGTTTAGAATCATATCTAAATTAAATCGAGTGCAAATTGATTTCTGAAACTTCCCAAATTTTTGCTCAGCCCAATATCTGAATCCTAGATCTTAATTTATTCAGCCTAACAAGCTGAAAAGGGAGAACTTTATATGGTGCAGAAGAGGTTGGGTGTTTCAAAGGATCTCTTTAACAAAAGCAACTGTTACAATCCACTAGATTCTAGAAAGTGTTGTGAATTTAATTTGAGTCTTAAAAAGAAATCACTTTAGAGATATATTGTCTTCATCATAGTGACATACAAAACTAAGTTGTCTCAATTAATTAAACATGCTAAATCATAGAACATAGAAGACCTTGGAGGCCATCTAGTCCAACCCCCTGCTCAAGCAGGAGCAAATATTAGCCTCTACCTGGGATCGAACTCACAGCCTTCTGATTGTGAGGTGAAAGCTCCACCTCTAGGCCACAGCATTTAGCATAAACTATGACTAATCAAAAATAGTGATTATATATGAAACCAGTATCAAACCATGTTATAACTTAGCTTGATATAGTGACTCAGCCTATTTCTTCTGGGTACAATTTTTATGAACATTTTAATGGGCAAATTGTTTAGCTTTATATCAAACCCAAATGAAAACTAAGCCTCCTAGCCAGCAGGAAGTATTCAACATAGAACCTCTTGAATCCTACATCTTTATCAGATAGCCAAATTATTTATTTTCCTTGTCCTATTTTCAAATTAAAATGGCTCTACTTGGGCATTAGCACTGCATTGACATGCTATAAATCATCTATATGCAAAGATTCATCTAGATAGTCTTTGTTATGTGAAAATGTCCATGTGTGTGTTTGTGAATGCATTTATGATAAGTTTAAACTTGACACCATACATTTTTCCCAGGTAAATAACGCTGCAATATGAAGTAAACTTTGAAATAATATCTCTGTTCTTTGCAGTAGGCAATACTCATTGATGTTCCCCACCATGACTGTTGCCAAAAGATGAAAGTTTGTATTTTTTTTAAAAAAAGAATATTCCTAGCATAATTGATAAAAATTATGGATGAGAGCTTTACCTACTACTATACTTTTAGAACAAATATTTTCAACAGTTCTTTCTGAACAAGTTCACTAAATATGAGTACAATAATTGCTGATAAGCAATTTTATCCATTTATATCAGTGGATTCATCAAGATGAAATGAAACTCAAAGACCCTATGATAAATTATTTTTCAATTAGTGTTCCAGTTCAGTAGAAATTAAGTCTATTAGTGTAGTAATTATATCCAGGCAAGATCGCTATTTGGATTATTGCAATTATATCTCTTTTAGTGGATACATTTTCAAAGAGCAAAATATCTAAATTGTTAGCTGTCTGCTGAATAAACCAACTGAGTGGAACACTCAAATCCTGGTGTAATCCAAGACTGTCATACAGTAGTTACATCTTTTAAAGCTGCAAACTTACATATCCATGGTGGGGGAAAATACTTTTGAGGATGGGTAACCATGGAAAGTGGGATTATTGGTAATTTTTGGAATTCTAGAGGAGAACACAGCTAATCTGGCTATTAATTCCAACATCCTGCTCAGTCCAGGATTCTAGATTTAAGCAAAAGTACTATCGTAAAAAAGAGTTGCTTGGAAAATATGCTATGCATAAGATGCTCTTGTCTGAAAGTTTTAGGAGCATTTCATGTAAAATGAGGTATTTTAATTATTGGAGTGAATAATTTAAGTTAATTAATTAAAAATAAAATAAGTATTAAGGTCATACTTTCAACATCATGATAAATTTCTAAATGGGAAATCATTTCCACTGATGGGAGAACTATTTTTTTCTGAGTAAGTGAACTTGAACAACTCATCAACACCATCTCTACTAGGGAGGTGCAACACCTTTGGGTTCTGCGGGGCTGCACCAGGTTTGGGGAGGGAAATCGGAGGTTATGTCACAAAGGTAAGTAAGTTGTAGAGGGCAGAAGGAAGGGCCATAAAGGACAGGAGAAACCTGCTACCCAGGCAAGAGTCAGATAAAAGGGGCCAGAGCCTGGACCAATAAAGTAACACATGTAAACATATCAGACAAGTACTTCCCTAATTCATGGAAAGAGCACATTCAGCCTTGCAAGATTCTGTTAATACTATACCTTCACATTCATCATTAATTGGCTCTGGGAGATGTGACCACTACCAAAAATGATGAGTATCAATTTTTTCCCATAAGGAAAAAAGGCAGATGACACCAACAAGTTCTAGTTTGTGTGTTGAGTACCAAACAATGTTGAGTACAGGAATAACTTTTTTCCCATTAAAATGCATTGAGTAACCTCTTGAAAAAGCACCTTTGGGATATGGAGTACCAAACTTGAAGAGTTTCAAAGCAGTTACGTACCAAGGTACCACTGTATAGCTTTACAATAAAAATAGTACTGATTTGTACAGTATGGCACTGGTTTCCTAGTGTGGTCTAACTTCAAGCGATTACATAAATTCAGTACCCATTTGGGAAGAGAATGCCTGGGTTTATCCACTGCTAAGGGGTAAAAATGGTGCTTAGACCTTCCTATATGTAAAAGAAAGAGCTACCAAAGGAATGCTGATATGGAGCCTTGTTTTTTCCAGTTTTGGTCTAGAGAACCACACTGGCGTACAATTTCTGGGGGAAATTGTAACTGGGGAAATTGTAAGTTTACTGCAGCAAAAACAAGGCTTAAGATAGCTAAACAGTCAGTTTCATACGCTGCAGTCTGCTTTCCATATGTCATCATGTATTTTTAGTCTTCACCGTATCTGTTATTCCTGGTGGGCCATTTCCCCCTCAGAGGTAATTACTTCTTTTTGTATCTACTTGTTTCAAAGATGTGCAGGCGGTTTCTTCTAGCCCTCTGTGGCGGGAGAAGCATGCCTTTCTTGAAGAAGATTAAAAAGACAAAAGATGCTATTCCTTTAATATCCTGAAGGTAGATAAGATATAGCTATGATTGATATAACAGATTACTGGAAAACCACTGCATGAGACATCACTCAGTTCTTGCCCAGTGTAATACTTAAAAGTGAAAAGAGAACTCGACAATACTGAAGGATTGGAGATGTTGTTAATTACACATAGGAATGAGTTGGAATAGAATGGAACTTGCCAGAAATATCTCTTGGAATTGAAGACAGAGCACGAATATCTGAAAACATTTTTAGGGGGGAAAAATGATCTTTAAGCTTTCTTCCCTTTTTCCTGAAATGCAAAACTATGAATTAGCAATGGGGGACAAGACAGAAACAGGTCTCACAAAATTAAATGTAAACGCTGGCAAAACAGCCCATTTGAGAAGCTTCAAGAGTTCTTTATTGCCTCTTCTCTTGAAAGCTGTACGTCGAAGACTACCTGCACAAGGAAATAAGACTTCATCTCCTGGCTACAATCACCACTACAATTTTTTGACACCTTATTTCCACCCCCACCTCCACCCCTGCTTATAATTCTGCATTTTTTTTCTTAGAAATTCTGAAAGCAAATTCTTATTTACCAAATCAAACAAAAACGGATAGGAAAAAATACATAATTTTCCTCACTGCCAAAATTTTCCTGCCTGTTTCCAAAGTTCCTGATTAGTGCACTAAAACAGGCATTACAACTGGGAAGGTTCAGCACTGTCAGGAGTCTAACCATCTGCATGAAGAGTTCAACTCCTCACCAAAGCAGTACCCATTTACTCGCATATAACATGCTTTCAAATTGCTAGGTGGGTAGAAGCTGAGGCAAGTAATGGGAGCTCACCCCACCGCACAGTGCCAGGACTTGAACTGCTGGAGCAAGGACCATCTCCAGCATCATTAACTCACTAAACCACTGTGCCTCTTTAGGCAGGGATAATGGTGCTATAAAACTCAGAACACGGTCATCAATCTTTCCCTCAAGTTAAATGAGAATGCAGAATGATTTTTTTTGCCATACCTACTCATAACTGCATCGCATAGGCACACTAAACATATCTTGACTAGGTCTGGGTGCAGGGGAGGATCAGAGCCAGAAAATTCGACCATGAAAACACCCAAGGTGCTTTTGGATTACTCTCCCTTAAACCAATATGTCCTTGTGAGGATAAAATGGAACGAGGCTCTCATTTAAACCACCTT